TTCTCACACTTAATCTGTGTGTCCAGAGACAGTATACACTCTGGCCATGCTGTTAATCTCTAAATCCCCTAAACAGATAAAGCTTTCTAGAGAAGCTGCTGTAGACACTGAGGAGAAGATAAAACTCATTTGGTTGCTTCCTTGGAAGACTTCGACTTCCTAGCCTCAGTGTGGACATAAAGTGCAGGAACAAATCACTGTCTTGGTCTGGCAATTTCTTCCTGTAGGAGGAGATGAAACTTGCTGAAAATAGGGGCAGAAGTATAAAACTTCATTCCAACAATCTGGGACATCAAGAAACCTATCAGGACAACCTCCAACTCAGCTGCTGTTTGCAGCGAACATGCAGGCTTCTCCTGGCCAGGCTCGGTACAGACATGGCACTTGTTGCTCTAAGGATTAGTGTCCTTGATAAAGGAAAAGTCACTGAAAGCTCCTCATATCTGCAACTCTTCTATGGACTCTAAAGCTGTGCTCATTAGTTACTCAGTTCTTGCTCTTCCAACCAGTAGCACAGAGAAGTAGAACATACCATGTATTTGTTTCCTGCCTATTTGAATTACCCACTAAACAGACCCAGACTAAAGTCTCACTTTCAGTACAGACAATTCCGTACAGGATAGTCCAGCCTAGCTGTAAGATCTGCTTAGCTCTGCAGCAATTTGTGACATTTAGGCTTTGCCAGAAAAGAAAAAAACGAAGGTCAAGAATAATACAAGACTGGAGTGCTGCTGACAGGACTTCCACAGAAGCTGGCACAAACTGGCACTAAATCAGGAGATAGCTTTTTGACTCTGCTACAGTTATCTTCAGTGACCTTGAGAAAAACAGAAGCCGTTCTGACTCCAGTCCCCGATCATCTTCGTGCCTTCCTCTGGACCTATTTGAGCAAGTCCATGTCCTTCTGATGTTGGGGGCCCCAGAGCTGGACCCAGCACTGCGGGTGGGGTCTCCTGAGAGTGGATTAGAGGGGCAGAATCCCCTCCCTGGACCTGCTGGCTATGCTTCTCTTGATGCAGCCCAGGAGACAGTTGGCTTTCTGGGCTGTGAGCGCACACAGGTGGCTCATAGTCAGTTTTCCACCCACTAATACCCCCAGGTGCTTCTCTGCAGGGCTGCTCTCAATCCACTCATCACCCAGCCTGTATTTGTGCTTGGGACTGCCCCAACCCATGTGCAGGCCCTTGTTTTTGGCCTTTCTGAACTTCATGAGGTTCACACAGGCCCACTTCTCTCAAACCTGTCAAGGTCCCTCTGGATGGCATCCCTTCCCTACAGTTTTTAAAGGTATTGTCCTGGTTTGGTCTGGGATAGAGTTAATTTTCCTCCTAGTAGCTAGTATGCTGTGTGATTTAGGATGAGAATAATGTTGATAACACTGAGCACCACATGTCTGCATTTTATATAAATTAGAGCATATTAGTAGGGCAGCCAGGGAGAGGCTGCCTGAACCAGCACATGCACGGTACAGCCTGCAGCTGCAGCAGCCACAGACTAAGCGCCCTCAGATGGGCCGAGTCCAGGATGGCTCTCAGAGCCAGCAGACAAACATGTAACACAAATAGAACAAAATAGAAAATAAAAAGATCTCTGATCTCTGCCAAGCTCATCCCTCAGATGCTAGGTGGCCGTGGCACAGGATCGCCCAGCCCTAGGGAAGCCCGGCAAGGCAGGATGACAGCAGAACACATGAACAGGCAGTCAGGTGTTGAATGCTGAGCAAATGCAACTTGGAAGAGGTAGAGGGGTGGGATCTGTGTTTCTATTTTATTTTTAAGTCAGCTACTTCCAAAAGCAGTTTACCTACAAGAAAGATATAAACATCTTTATTATTTCTAAGGAAAATTCCCAGATTGCTGAATCTTTCGCAACGCACATTATTCCTGCTTGAGCTGGTTCCTAAAGGCATATTCACTAGCACAGTTCCCCAAGTTTAAAGCCTTTCCACTTGGACCACTGCTTTGGCTGGAGGAGACATGCCCTTCTCACCCTCACAGCAGTGGCACCGGGAGACCTGTGGAAAGAGGGTGGGACCGACTGTGGATGACACCGGTGTGGGCGTGAAGCTTCTCGGGACACATCCACACGCACACTTGTGACCAAAAGCGGCTTGGCAGAAAAGGCCCCGCGGGTCCTGGTGGACACCACGCTGCCCAGCAGCTAGCAAGGTGCTTTTGCCCAAAGGCGGTGGCGAGCGGTACCCTGGGCTGCACTGGGAAAGCCTTGCCAGCAGCTGGAGGGAGGTGACCCTGCCCCTCTGCCCAGCGCTGGGGAGGCCATGCCTGCAGTGCTCTGCCCGGGTCTGGGCTCCCCACTACGAGAGAGACACCGGCATACTGGGGAGAGCCCCCCCACCCGTGCCCCTCCCCCACCCGTGCCCCCCAGCACGACCGTTGGGGTCACAGTGCCATGCTGGGGTATCCCGGCGCTGGCCCGGCAACAGCCCCAGTGCCTACCGGACGTCGCCGTGCCAGCACCGAGTGCTACTGGGGTCTCGCCCAGGAGCACTCTCTGGCACTGCCACCCCCTCGGCAGCCCTACTTGCGCCGCTGGGGCACTGCCCCAAACCCCTAAGAGCAGTGGTCTGCGGGATTCTCCCGGCCTTGATGGGATGGGCCAGCTCAACTGCTGCCGCGGCCCCAGGTGAGCTCCCCCCGCGGCCAGGGGACACGCCGGCACAGCCGGGCCCCCCAGCAGCCGCCTTGCTCATGCCCGATGCCGTCTGCTCTGCAGGGAGGACCCTGAGCCCGTGCAGGAGAGTGTGCCTGTCCCGGCGGCACCGCAGCCACTGCTCCGCCACCATGTGCGGGTGGCCCAGGGCCGCACGACGAGGAAGAGGGACCTCCTCCTCTTCAGGGAAACCCTGGTCATCGCCAAGCCCGAGTAAGACTCGCAGACCCCGGCTGCCCTTTCTCCCAAGCCCTGGCCCTGGCACAGCAGGGCAGGGACACCCAAGGAGCAGCCCCAGGCCCCCGGCACCCTGGTGCTGGATGCCCCCATGGCCATGCCCGTGGCAGGAGCACGGTAGAGGGGGAGCCACGGGGCTCGGCCACCTCCAAGTCACTCCCTGCCGCTCCTCTCCGCAGACGTGGCAGCTCCCCGCGCCCGCAGCTCTGCCTGGCCCTGGGCCAGCTGCAGGTGCTGAGCGGTGGGACGGGGGCGGCTGGGGATGGCACCCGGGAGGAGGAAAGCAAGAGCACCAACTCCCTCGTCCTCGTCTGGCCCTGCGGCTGTAGTGTCGTCACTTTCCGGTGAGTCTCCGTGCCACGTCCCACAGCAGGACCCGGCAGCGCCTCGGTCCTGCCCCACAGGGCTTCCTCCTGCCTCTGTAGTCATCCCCACCGGGCAGGGCTGTGCCGGCACCCGCCTCTGCCCGCAGGCTGGGGAGCAGCAGGCACTCAGGCTCTTTCTCCTCTCTTCCTCAGCTCCCGGGAGGTGAAGGAGCTCTGGCTCAGCGCGCTCAGTGGGTAAGCCCAGCCTGGCGGTGCAGCCTGGGGGGCCCGTGCTCACATCACGGCGGGACGCTCCAGGCCTGGGAGAGCTCCCCCCGTGGCTGCAGCCAGCTCTCGAGCGGGCAGAGCTGGCGGAGCTGCTTTGCCAAGCCCTGTCCAGCCAAGCCCCCCCCAGCCCCAGGCCCACCACTGCCACCGCTCTCCGCTCCACTGCCCGGCGCTACCCGGCTGCTTTGGGGCAGCTTGGAAGTGCTCCCCACTGGGCTGGCAGGAGAGGGCAAAGGCAGCTTCGGTCTCACACAGCTCTTCCTCCGACCCTTCCCCATGCACAGGCCACCAGAAGGAGTGCAGGGAGCCCGGGTGACCCAGCTGCCCTCCATCAAGCTCCTGCTGAAGCAGCTGAGTGGCCGCAAGGCAGTAAGTGGCCCTCTCGTCTGTGCTCTGCCCCCGCATGCTGCTCCAGCTCGGCATCAACTGCATCGCTTCTCACCTTCTGCTCTTTGCATTTTTCCCCTTGCTCAGGCGACGACACTACACGCCAGCAGCCTGGAGAGGCTCGTCGAGGGCCAGGCAAAGGTTAGGCTCGGCCGGGGTGCCATCCTGGCCATCCCCACCTCTGACAGGTGGCCAGGGGCTGCTCTGGCTCAGCGGGGGCCCTTTCTGCTGCGGGGCTGCTCGGTGAGCACAGCACATTTCTTGCAGGCTGCTGCAGAACAGCAGCCACCACCCGTCCCCTCCAGCAGCGAAGGCGGACGTGGCCACTCCGCTGGTGAGTTGGGACAAGACAGGGGCAGGACGTCCCTTCTCTGCCCCCCTCGCAGGGGGGCACTCGTGCTGCTGCTGCCCTTCTCGCAGGGCACATCTATCCCCATCGCTCTGTGCAGGAGAGAGCTGAGTCCCCGGCGTCCCCCGTGCCCAAACAACGCCTCTCCCTTGCGCTCGGCAGCAGGGGGGACGGCTCTGAGGGGCTCCGGGAGCGCTCGCCCGGCCGTACTCACGCAGGGGTTTTTGCGCTCTTTCCCTTGGCACCAGGCGGGACCTGCAGGAGGAGGAGGGGGCTGACCTGGCCCTTTGCACGCCGAGGGACCTCGGCTGCTGCAGAGGCGCCCGGGCCGTCGGGCTCTGGCGCCGGGGGGGCTCTCTTTGGCCGGCCCCTGGCAGCTCTCTGCAGCCAGGACGGCACGCTGCCCCAGCCCATCCAGGTAAGCAGGGCTGGCCAGAGGGAGGGGAGGGTCCCCATCCCGCTGGCTCCTCTGGAGAGGCGGTGTCCCAAGCACAGGCACCCTGCCTGGGGCCCGGGGACAAAGCCATCTCCTCCCCCCATCCCCAGCCTCCAGCCACCCCTCCATCCCGCCCCAGTGAGAGACACGGAGCCGTCCGTCCACGCTCACTCCGGTCCCTCAGGAAGGTCCACCTGCCTCAGGGCCTGTCTCCAGCCATCAACTGTCCCCCTCTGTCCCCTCAGGACCTGCTGGCTCTCCTTCACGAGCACGGGCCATCCACGGAGGGGATCTTCCGGCTGGCGGCCGGCGAGCGCGCCTCGCGGGAGCTGCGGGAGGCCCTCGACAGCGGAGCGGAGGTCCACCTCCAAAGCCAGCCTGCGCGGCTGCTGGCCGTCATCTTGAAGGTGAACCCGGCTGACCTGCAGCCCGGCAGCTCCCGCCTCTGTCGCTGCTGACGGGCGCCTGCGAGAGCAGCAGCCGAAACCCAGCCGCCTGCTCTGCTCCCGAGCCAGAGTGCCGGGGGTGCTGCCCGTGCTCCCGGCAAGCAGCGGCCAAGGCCTCACCCGGTGCCCTTGGCATTGCAGGACTTCCTCCGCAAGATCCCCTCCAAGCTCCTCGAGGCAGAGCTCTACGAGGAGTGGGTGAGCGCCCTGCAGAAGACCAGCAGGCAGGAGAAGCTGGCGGCACTGAAGGAGTGAGTGTGGCGAGCAGCCTGCCTGCTCCGCGGGGACTGGCAGAGGCCGGGACTCGCCCGCACGGCGGCAGCCTCCTTGCAGAAGCTGTGCCTTCAGCCAGACACCTCTGGGCGCTGTGGGCTCGGGTTCTGGGGGCACGTGGCACAGCAGGGCACTTCTCTCCTTGGAGCTCTTCCCGCGGGCCCTGGGGGTGGCTGCACCAAGGGCCTCTTGCCAGCAGGGCCAGGAGGGAGGGAGGTGGCCGCATCTCAGCGGAGGCAGTCCCTCTGCTGTACAGCAGGGGTGGCCAGGGAGCCTTCCCTCGGCCTGGGGTCAGCCTGGGAGGGAGGCCTGTGCTGACAAGGTCCAGTTCAGGAACGGTGTCTTCCTGTTCCCTCAGGGTGGCCAGCAAGTTGCCCAGCGCCAACCTCCTCCTCCTCAAGAACTTGCTCATCCTGCTCCGAAACATCAGCACAAATGTGGCCACCAGCAGGATGAGTGCCGGCAACCTGGCCATCTGCGTGGGGCCAAGCCTCCTGAGCCCAGCCGAGGAGCACACGCTTCCCCTGGACGTCCTGGTGCAGGAGACGGGGAAGGTACGTGGTGTTCCCCAGCCGGCTACAGCCTTCTGGGCCCACCCGGGCTTTGCTGTTCAGAGGTACCTGGCTGCCTCCTCTCTTCAGCAAACGCTCGTGGCGGAGCTGCCGGGAAGAGCAGCCCCACAGCTGCGCACAAGCGAGGCTCGGGAGTGGGGAAGGCTGTTGCACCTCGCTGGAAACCCGTGCTGTGCTGTGTGCAGGTGACGCGGCTGGTGGAGTTCCTCATTGACCACCACGAGGAACTCTTTGGGGAGGAGGTGGCCGAGCTTGGCAGCGCATAGGCCGAGGAGCAGCCGGCACCAGCGCTGGGAGGAGGAGCAGCAGAGGTACGTCAGGGCCACACAGAGCGTGACAACAAGAGCCTCCCCCTTCAGAAGGTGGGACTGCTGCTGCAGGGTCAGGCAAGGTCACCCACAAGCCTGCAGCTCTCCAAAAGCGCCCAATAAGGCGGATGCAGGTGGCCCACTGCACTTTGTGCACTGTTCCCACCAGACCGGCCTCAGCTGGGCTCAGCAAACCCATCCAAGGGATCTGCCTTTCAGAGCTAAGGGAGAACTTGGGCAGGTGGGTCCTTGCCACCTCTTAAATTCCACCTTTCTGTTGCAGGTGGCCCCGCTCGCTCCAGAAAGAGAACACCTGAGGAGCTCATCTGCGGAGAGAAGGTAAAATGAGCTAGCTTTGATTAAGAGCAGAATTGGTACCAGTTTATCATGGCTTTACCTGCCTAACAATGCTATGGAATGGAAAGGTTGCCAGGGTCTTCTCGAGGAAGCAGAAAGCGGAAAACAACTTGGAGCGAGGAGGGTGATGGGCAACCGGGCCGGAAGAAGGCCAGGCTGTAAAGAGAGCTCTCAGCCATGGGCGAGTGAGGAAATCCAAGCAGGCAACACCAACCAGAAGCCCAGGTGTGTAACAGACCCTGCCCTCCATCCTTCAAATTTTACTGCTGCTCCGAGGGTAGGAAATATTCCCGAGGCGCACAGAGATGGCGCCAGACAGGAAGCATGCGCCTGCCCTTGGGAGAAAGTGTCTGTCAGGAGAAAAATACAACTCCAGCACTGGCAGTTTCCTTGTGGAACTTGTGGAGGGTCTGTGCAAGGCTCAACAGGCACCCCTGCAAGGTCACAAGACTCACAGTTTTGAGCTCTTTGACCTGCTACCTGCAGGAAGAGGCAAAGTCCCACGTTTCTATTCGTGCCAGCTGCCTGGTAAGGGGGCCCTGAACATCTCTGGCAACTTGCCGTGCCCCGGGCTTATTGCCTGTGCTGCGGAGGGGCCAGAGCAGCACCGGAGTTGCTGCCGCTAAGGGTTCTCTCCCCTGGGCCACGACCCGAGCCCTTTGTCCTCGGACTTCCCAAAGAACGGGGATCAAAGTCACGCCTCTTGCCGCCCTCGTGGTTCCATCAGCGCTTTCTGACTCTGCCCTCGTAGGTGCCGATTTAGTTCTGCTGCTTGGATTCCCCGCACGAGCTCTGACGCCCGGCCTTCAAGGAGCACGCTGCAGCCCCAGCACCACCTCGGTGGAGGCGAGGAGAGAGGCACCGTGCCGCCCTGCTCCATCCACCAGACTGCAGCGTCACACCGCTAAGCCGCAGCGGCCCCGCACCGCCCTCAGAGCCATCCCACCCTTCGCAGGAGGCCTTGCTGGCTCACTCACCAGCTCCGTCAGCCCATGCCCACCAGCTGGCACGTCTCCCCAGGTGGGGAGCTGGCATCTGAAATGCCGATTCCAGGGAGCATCTTGCGCATGGCGGTGCATATCGTCTGGGAGGGACACGCGCGACGTGCTGCACAGCATCTTCCATATTATAAAGCCCTCCTGGTTTTAGTTACAGCTACTCGTGCTCGGCTGAGAGGTGCCGAACCAACTTGTACCTGCTCAGTCTATGTTCAGGGTCCATGGATTAGGAAACAATGGACAGAGACACAATTATGAGTGCAAAAGGGGTTTCTGGTAGCCTGTGACACAACTCCCCTGACACTTCCGAGTGCCTGTTAAGAAGGTGGATAATGCCAGCAGAGCTGCTGCATCAGCAACAACTTTCTTGCGCCTTCTGCTGCAGATCAGCTCTCTCTGGACTGACGCAGACACACCCCTTCCTCTCCGTCATGACCAGAGCTTTGAAACTAGCTTTTCCCAAAGCTCCAACTACTTCAACAGCCTCTCTTGTTTTGATCCTCGAGCCCTGGATGATGTGTAATGGTGTTGAGCTCCTTTCCGAAGGGAAGACACAAGTGCCAGGCACAAGAGGGGAAAGAAACTGCACAGCTGATCTGCAGGTCTTGCAGGGATTGTGCAGGAGTCACCAGAGCACGGAAATTCAGGTGCAGCTCTCCCAGCTGGCATCTGAAGTGTTTCAGAGACAATGCCATCTTTTCTTCACAGGCAAAGCCTCGCTTGATACCCTCAGCAATTGCTACCCTAAGTAATTAAACTCCCAGCTGTTCGGAGCTCTGCACTATGGAAAAATCAAAGGGTTCTAGAGAGTAATCCCTAAGTCACTTCGGGGGGGAAAAAAAAAAACAAAAAACAAAAAACAAAACAAACAAATCCCTCTGTACTCAAGAGGGAGAAACATCAGATGTTGTGATGTCTTTCTTCCCATTTCCCTGCTGTTCGTTTACCCGCCTCTGTGGCTAACTGAGAACTGCAGATCAGCCTTTGGTCTGGAGCTGCTGGCCGGAGACGACGGTGCTCTGGTACACGCAGCTGCCTGCTTGCTAGAGCTTTCGACAGACTTAGAGCCTCTGCTAAAACGTGGCCATAGAAAGTTCTGCCCCGTTCTCTTTTCTGTACCACGCGTGTCCCAATGCATAGTGCAACCAAACCACTTAATAAATAAAGAACTATGTAAACAGCATTAGGAAATGACTGCAGGCATCCCAGCCGTCTGCAGACAAGGCCGCCTCAAATCCGAGTACTGACAGAGGGACGAGTTTGTAATGGGACTGCTTGGCCGATAGGTGCCTATTCCCCTTGCCTTTGCCGGAATACGGTGTACGGACTGTCTGCAGTCCTCAGCGTTTCTTCCTATGCGCTGCTTTTTACAATTTCTTACTATTTCTTTACAGAAATAAAGTTTCAAATGTCTATCTGGCCAGTCTCCGTATTTGGACGAGTCCCTTCCCTTTCCCCTTACCTCTCCCCTTCCTCCCTTCCCCTTCCCCTCCCTCTTCCCTTCCTTTTTTCTTCCTCTCCCCTTCGCTGTGTTTCACCGCTCGCACGCTCTGATATTTCACAGTCGTGGATGTGACAGAGCCCAGAACTTCAGTTAACGGCACGGTGTCCTGTGACATAAGGACACAGATCTCTTTCACCTTTCTTCTGGTTTTCAGGTCACGTCAGTCCACACTCAGCTGTGCAGCTACGGCACAGCTCTGCGTTACTCATGCTTACACCCTGGCATACCGTAAGACTTCATAAGCATATATTAGTGTGGTGGAGAAAGTCTGTGAAAGCTACTCTTCACAAAAGCAACCTTTTTTTAAGCCCAGGCCTAAATTCCACGGAAGCTAGAGCGGATTTTAAATCTAGGCTTCAGAATAAGGACGTCTGCACACATGGCCTACGTTCAGGGGAATGCAAGTGTAAGATTAAGCTATCCTGAGCTGGAGTCTCCTCTTGGAAGACTATGTAAGACACAGGCATGTCTATTCTGCTGCATTTTGACATTTCCAGAGTAAAATTTATTCCTCTTTTAAATGGAACAAATCAGCATCAAAATGATAATTTTAAAAGCCATAAATTACTTTGTCCAGACCTGATAAAATGCACGGTATTTTATTAAGGAAATTAATTTCTTTAACATGACTTTGTAACTTTGGTGACAAATGGACATAGCCAGGCCGCATCAGGAACACTAACACAGTCGAGTCTGCCCCTCTTTTGCATTTTTTCCTTTGTAAGAGGGAAAAATCCTGACCATCAGTCACCTGGTTTATAGCTTTAGCTTGATTTTTTAAATACATCTAACGTATTTCAGCTTCATCTAATTAGTAAAACTTACTGTGCCTAGGAACTCTCATTTCCTAGTCACCTGCATTTCTTACCAAAGAGAAAACCACTTCCTCTACTACAGCAACCGTATGCAACGGGCCCATCTGAGCTGTCCTTCGGAAAGGCTTCCAAATGCAACTGCCAGGCAGCACGAAAAACAATTCTTAGATGGTAGCTTTAATTGTTGTTAAACAACACTTCTCCGTCTCAGGGCACCACCACCAGGAGTGTCACAGGGAGCCTCTCAAGCCGCAGGACCCTTTGGTTGCTGCTGTAGCTGGAGGCAGGACAAATGTCAGCATGCGTTTGGGCTTGTGAAGCTCTTCAGAGGGCAAAGAGCAGCTCTGACTACCTCAGCCCAAAGGTCTCTGAGAAGCTAGAAATCCCCGTGGCTGCTTTTTGGTGGGTGCTTTGGTTTGTTGGCAATGTCAAGGGAGCAGCAGAACTTCCAAAAGTCCAAAGTCACTTGGACAGTCGGCCACCACCCCTTAAAGTAGCTCGTGTGCAAAGAACGGAGCTTGACTCTCACAGGTGTCCCGTGCAAGGGGGCTCGGCTGCTTTTCCACTGTGAGTAGCAACCCTTGACCTCTTGCAAAAGCTGCCGTCGTACTTAAACCTTGCCTTCCCCTACCTGTACCTATGTCAAATTATTGTAGGCGTTACCAAAAATACAATCATCTTCTTAGGTGGGACCTGGGAGCTTATTCAAGTCATTTCAAGGTCTTGTTTTCCTCAGAAGGGCAGCTCTCAATGACAGCACACACAGGCTATTAGGGAACAGGCATCCCGAATAGAGAGAGGCCCCCCACATCCTTTCATCTCCTCTACCTTCCCACTAGCCCTGTGCTGAGCAGTTGAGTGACGAGAAGGTCCAGACTT